TCCCATTCGGATAGAAAATGAAACCAATTATAATGTATCATGCTGTCAGAGTCATCTTTGGGGAGTCCTCAGGAAGAGAGTCTGGAGCTTGGTTTCTTTTCATCTTGGAAGAATTCATACCAACGGAACTGGCTAAAACCCTGTAGCAGGTTGATTAATGGCTTCCAATGAGACCTGTCCGTGTCCTAATCCCCAGAACCTGTGAATATGACCTTATTTGGAAGAAGGAATTTTACAGGTGTAATTAAGTCAGGGATCTTGAGATGAGATCATTCTGGGTTATTCAGGTGGGCCCTAAATCAAATGACAAATGTCTTCTTCAGAAACTTCAGAGAAAATGAGCTTCTACAGAGGAAGCAGAGCCTGCAGAAACCTTGCTTTTAGCCTCGAGAAATATGAAAGAACAAACTTTTCAAGCCATCATGATTGTGGCAATTTGTTACAGCAGCCCTGGGAAACTAATGCAAGCTGTTTGAAAAAGAGTTGTAAGGAGACTTTGCAGCCACGTGGCCACATGTGGGACAGCAGCCAGGCTCCTGCTTGGAGTTACTGCACAAAAGCCAGGCATTTTTTAGTTGCACTTGCTTTATTCCAAGACAAGTTACTGATTAGGACATTCTGATCACATTTATTTATTTATCTGTATATGTGTGTCTCTTCAGTTGGGTAATGGGCTTCAGAAGGCCAAGAGCCTTTATTTCTTCATTCAGTGAAAATTTATTGAAAGACTATTACGCTCTCCCCTCTGCGCTAGCTGCTGGGATGAGGTGCTGAGTAACCCAGAGTTCTTGTATTTGAGATACAAGCAGACCTTGGGTGGTATACCATTTTGGGCTTAACTCATGCTGGATGGAGGAAATCGACATGGATACGTTGGTTTGGAGGAGTGGACAGTTTTTTATTGACAAAGACCTGGGTTCAAGTTATTATAAACTTAGGATAATTTCCTTAATTGTAAAAGAGAGAAAATAGTAGCTACTTTAGGGCTATGAGGATGGCTAGCATATGCATAAATATATGTTACACAGAAAATATTTATTTCAAAATGGCTATAATGTTCCTGATGAATAAGAGTATAGTGTTCCAGCCAAGTCCATAGCTTACCTTAATGATATTTTAGTACTGTTTCTGTGTGATTTTACTTATTATCTCATCTCATTTTTCTCCAGCTTTCTAATCTAGGCAGGGCAGGAATGATTGTGAGATGGGGCTGAAGAACAAGAGATCAAATTCATAGAAGTAGAAGGAGGTGGTGGTGAAGCTGGACAAATAGCCAAGACCTCCTGTCCCCCAGGGCCCTGTGTTTCCTACCCCAGCCTTTCACTTGGATGAGATAGTCCCTCAAGGAGAAGGGGGGATCTTCTCACAATTACAGCATAAACACATCTCAGTCAAGAGTCCATTTTACCCAAATATTTTTTTGAATAATACATCTTCAAAATATTATAACGACACAGCTTGATTTTAGAGAATGAGAAAACGTAATAATAATGATTATGAATGCTTATATGCAAGAGTCTCTGTCTAACCACTTTTAAAAATAGTATTTTGTTTAATTCTTAGTATTTTTCCAACTAGGTCCTGTCATTATCCTCATTCCGTGGGTTAAGGACCCAAGAAATAAAAACAGTGAAACAGGTTTTAATGCAGAGATGTTTTAGGTAAATATTTAGACAATTCATTAGGAATATTTGGATGACCTTAGGCTACCAGGGCTATAGGTATTTTATTCTGTTGTCTGTCATTATAGACATGAGAAGGCTGTGAGGAGAATTTCAGAAGCACTGTGCTGCCTGCACTGTATAAAGAAATGGTTTTTAAGGAGCTGTGTGGGGTGGGGGTGTGTATGTGTGTGTGTGGGGGGGTGTATGTGTGTGTGGAGAGAGAGAGAAGGTGCAAGAGAGCAAGCATTTCACAGTGTGTGCAATTTTAGCTTAATTAGACCAGGAAGACTATTAACAAGTTATTTTTAAATGCACTGAAGATCAGGAGGTATATTAGAATTAAATTACACTGTGTGAGGCTGATTGGCAGGCCATGTACTGTGGGCAAGTTCACAATCTTGTCTTTATCAGCACAGTTTGCAAAGTAGGCCTGAAAGGCATGGCCCCAAACCCATAGAGTGTGGAGCTATAATTATTCAAGTTAAAAAAAAAGAAACTAATTGGAAATGTGATAAGCAATGATTAGGCAGCCTGTTTCAGGAGGAAAATGAACAAAATGAGCAGATGCCAACTGTGGTGGCTTCAGTGAAAAAGGACAGACACACTTGTTTAAATGAAAAGTTCCCTGTCTATCACCTAAAGAAGGGATTTCCCTCAGGACTGGACTATTAGCATGGCATTTGCATAGAGAACTGAAAACAAAAACAGCCAGCACAAATAGAAACTCTTGGGCACAAAGAAAACCTGCATTCAAAGGATGCTGGCTGGTACAGGGGGCTGAGTCCCTGCCGAGGGTACTTGGGGACTGATTGCCAACTGGGAATGTTCCTGACCTTGCAGTAGCAAGAACTGAAATAACCCAGCAAAACAGAGCAGGGAGGGGGTTAGAAGACTTTGGCTCCTGTTTTGGCTGAAACTCTTGGTCTGAAGCCCAGAGCTCATGTGCATTTGAGGAATGACCTTCCCTCCCTGGGCTTCCTCATGGCCATCCCTCTCCTCTCCAGGGCCAACTGCATCTTCCTCCTCTGCATTTGGGACTAGTAAATCTGACTCTGGAGCCCTCCAGAGGCTCCGTGTCATGGCTGCCTGATTCCAGCTTTACCTTGTATTCAAGATGGGAACTTGAGCTTGGGAAAATTGCTAATTATGGGTCCCTTAGCAAGACCTCCCTCTCCGCCTCAATTTCCTCATCTATAATATTGAGGTAAGATACTCCATAATAAGATACTATGAACAAGTTATTTTTAAATGCACTGAAGGGTTGTTGTGGGGATTAAAGCAGACAAAAGAAGGTAAAACAGAGATTAGTTCTTGGTGCTTACTGAGTTCTCTCAATACATGTTCATTAAATTTTAGCAATTAATATGCATTTGCCCCCTTGGGTGGAGCTCCCTAACTTCAGTCATCCATTTTTACTTCTCTTGTAGTTGCCATAAATAAGTACCATGGTATGCTTAATGATTTTCAAACTCAATTAAATTTTTAAAAATCAACTGTACTTCAAGCATTAATATTTGCCCAAGCCAAGGCTTCCTGTGTTAATGTTTTTTAATACTAATTAAAAGTAAAAATAGATCCCCTAAAAAATGTTTTTAAAGGTTGTCACAACTTGAAGTTATCTCAGACACCAGTACCCATTTCACACATCAGGAAACACTACACACATTCACTCCTCTTCCCACTGTGCTCTCAGCAAGCATTTAGATAACACTTATCAGGCCAGTGGAGAGCAAGTTAGGCAACAGAAAGGAACAAGCAGCACCTTCTCTGCCCCCAGTGAGCAAAGAGACCCAGAGAGAGAAGAGGACAATGATGAGGCAGCGTAATGTCTCCTGGGGGTGACATTGGTGAGGGGGACCATTTTCCTTTCTAGGCAGGTCATGAAAGTAGGGAAAAGAAACAAGCAAAGGGCCTTCTGAATTCCAGTTCCAGGGCAGTTAGCTATGCACCCAAATTCTACCTGTGAGCTTTCTGCTTGAGCTCCCTGACCATAGGATTCCACAGCTAAAGGAAGATTAAATCTGATGACACTGGGTCCTGGGTGAATTAAAGATCTCCTCGTATTAACAATACTCATGGAGGACAGAAACTTACCTGTCCCACGGGCCTGGGGAATATGCCCATTCTCCTTTCCTCTTAGAGCTCTCTAGGATTGACCTCAAAATCTGCCTTTTTGCAAAAAGGCATTTAATATTGGCCAACATGTATTGAAGGTTTTCCAAGTTCAAGACACAACTCTGAAAGCCTTGTGTGTACTCTTTATCATGATGGTATCTTGCATAGGATGAGGCTTGTAACATCCCATCTTACACATAATAAAATTGAGGCATGGAGGGGTTAAGTAATTTGCCCAGACAACACAACGGGTAAATCAAGAAACAGGTAACCTGTAAAATTAGTAACCATTAAAATTGCTAGTACTTCAAATGGGACTATACCTAATGTTCACAGTAGGGCCACGTCGTCTTGCTCCAAGATTTTCAGCTGGAAGGGGTTTTGTCTTCCAGGAGACGTTTGGCAGTGTGTGGAGAAACTTTTGGCTATCACAGCTTTTGGGTAAGGGCTACTGGATTCTAGTGGTTAGAAGACAGGGAGGCTGCTAACCATCCTACAGTGCCCAGGACTACCTCCCTCCTCCCACCAAAGAATTATTCAGGGCAAAACATCAGTGCACCAAGGCCAAGAATCCCTGATGTAGGCACTTCTATTGAAGAAGTCATAAAACCTCTCTGAATCCAAACCAGGTAGCCTGAAGTGCAGGCAGAAAACCTCATACAATTTTTCACAAGAAACCCAATAAACAATGACCTGAAGCCAAATTCCTAAGATGAATTCATTTTGCCATTAGATAAGTCAATGAATAGCAACACAGGGGATGTGAGGGGCTGAGTGACAGGAACAGGGCAGCAGGGCACATGACAAGAGCTGAGAAGACAGCTGACAGCCTGCAAGTATGAGGGTGAGGGGTGGGCAGAACAGAAGAAGCCGGAATAAGCTCTGAGCAGAAACCTTGCCTGTGAAAACCCCTGGAAGAAACAGACATGTGGAATAGGCAGCTCTAAGGATCCTGGGGAGACGTCACATGGCACACAGAGCGGCCCAAACCAGGACATGGGCACAGGGGCAGGCCACTAGCAGCAGCTGCTGCATCGCACAGGATTAAGTTTCTATGTTTGCTTTTTTTCTTTTTTTTTGTTTTTTTGATTAAGAGACCTGAGGCTATCAGTGGATAAAGACAATAAATATGAAAAGTTGGGTGTTTTTCTGGTGAAATTTTCTGCATTAAATGCTGAAGAATTAAGTGAGCCAAGAGGGATTAGGAAGAGGAAGCAGGAAGCTCACCTGAATATTTTTGCTTTATTGAATCTAATAAACATTTTATTTATATAAAAGACAAACAATGCATAGAATGAAAATAAGTGCTTGAGATCTTTGATATAAAAAGAGTATATAGCATTCACATTCCTATTACATGAGTACGGCTGAAGTGTTCCATAGAAGAATAAAACTTTCCCTTTAAGTATAGTAGTGAGAAAAAGTCAGTATGTTTAGGAACTACAGAATGTTATTCCTTGGTCTTTTTTATTTAGTAAGAAAAAAAAAAAAATAAGCCACAGTATCGTCTGACACTACATTCCAGTTTATGCTGCTGATAACCCAGAAGGGATGGTGCTGTTTGGAATCTTGGAAGAGTCCATTATAGGATCAGTATTCTAGAAATTCACCACTAGAGGTCAATGAGCAACAGCTATTGGGATGGCATGGTGCGCCCTAAGGTGTGAGAGCAATTTCTAGGTGCTTCCATGGCATGGCAGTCAAATAGTCATTAACTCCCAGCCCACCAACACGGAGTAGGGCCTCAAGGTTCCAGCTAACCCCCAAATTCTCTATGGATCCTAAAACTTCAATGACACGAGACCTTCCAAAATCCAAACAGAGCACTGCCAGTCCCTAATATTCCTATTGGGCTGAAAACAAGTAGCTTCAAACTTTTTTTTTTTTTAAAACAGATTACTTGCAGCATTAACACTTGTTGTAGACTAACAAGTTTCCTATGAAGTATTAAAGCTCATTCTTTGTTCTGGTCCATGAGGACACAGATTTCTTTACTGCAAATGGGACTCCTATGTCCCCCATTCAAGTCCTCGCTCCCAGTTTCTGCAAAGGTTGGGAAGGGTGGTGTGATGAAGAGACTGGTCATCACGGGAAAAGCTTCTTGGAGTAAAGAGCTTCCCTCCCTACTGCAGAGGGGAAAACTATTAACATATGAGCAAAAGAGGCCAGAGTTAACTGGGACCCCTTAAAGGAGGTCCCTTTTAGTCCAATGAAAGGCCAACTTCAAATCTTAATACCAGACAAGTAGTCAAAAGCATACTATGTAGCCAGAGAATTGACTGCTTGAATGTACATTTCTTACGGAGACCTTGGTCAGGGGCAGTTCTACTCCCCAGACTAGGGTGGAGGGGAGGGGGAGGAGCAGCGGAAAGGGCCAATGTTAAGCAGCTTTATAAGTGTGTCCATACTTCAGTTTTGTGAATATGCGGACTGGAGAGAACTGGAAACCTTCTGCTATCCTTACCTGGGGATCCAGATTTTTCTGCAACATCTCCAAATCTTAAAAAATTGGCATAATTTTTTAAAACACTGCTGGCCGAGTAAAACACACGTTCAGAGTGCTAAGGATTATGGCAGTATTGTGTAGTTCAAATCCTTTGCACTAGGCCAAAAAGGAGCATTCAGGAGCACCAAAAGATGGAACCTTTGCATAAAAAGCTAGAGACTCACATCAACTGTTAAAAAAAGTTAATCCCAATGAACTTTGGAGCAGGGGTTTGTTGACTTTTAGGAAAGGATGAAGGCTGGAAGAGAAGGATAGTAATATAGGCATAGAGGGAAGATGGAGAAAAGAAAATCTCGCATTAGTAAATGGTATGGCAATTTCATGAGTGAGGACATTTGGCCGCCTCATTTTTCTGCAGCCTATAAAAATACAATATGGGGCTTGAAGCCTTATGCTACTAGAGATGGGCAGTGTTTCTGAACTAGGATGAAAAAAAGTGGTTCACAAATTAGACGTGGGGCTTGGAGCTCAAGTAAAAAAGTCCAGGAAAACAATGGCATACAGGAAGCTCAGGAACACTTGTTCCCAAATAGTGCCACTATATTTAACTCCATGGCCAGAGAAGAACCCCAGTGCAGGGAATGATTATTGTGCAGAAGCAAGTGCAATGTGGCCGTAGCAGGTTCTGAGACTCATTGGGGCTGTCTCCTAATTCAAAGTTCCCCGTCATCTAGTCAGAGAACCTTCATGTATGTGATTGTCAAGTGCTAATGCTGTCACGGGTCCCTTCCTTCTCTGCTTGGTTCTGGAGCTCTCCAATAAAACCAATTTCCTGGGAATATTCGATCTTTTTCCTTGCCTCTTTTCAGAGTATGGCTATAGATATAGACATATATAGATATATATATATATAAAACATAGCTATTCCATATTTATATACAGGCATTAATAAAGTGCAAAAATGTTATTGGCTATTGTAAAAATCAATCTCATTTCCTGAGGAAGTGCTAACACAGCTTATCCTATGACAATGTCAAAGGCATAGAATGCTTTATGTCACCCACTCCCTGCCGCTGTTTCTGTTCATCCCCGCAGCTTGCAGGGAGGGGAGTGACCGCCTTGGTTTCCAGGAAGCATCAGTTCAGGGGCGGCTTCCTGCTTCCCTGTGTTCTTTGGCGAGAGGGGTGGCTTCTTTAGGCTTGGCCCAGCCTGCCCCAAAAGAGCTATTTGGTAGTGTTCAGGGAGCCGTCTTCGGGAATCTTCTCCTCCGAGCAGCTCCTCCCAGAGAGCCTGTCCAGGTGCTCCAGCTCGCTGAAGCGTTCTGCCACACACTGGGCTGTGAGACGGGCCTCGGGGTCGTGGTCCCAGCACTCGGTCAATGTCTCGCACACCATCTGGATGCCCTGTAGTGAGAGAGAGGTCCAAAGGGCACCATGAGTAGTGGGCTCTGCAGAGGGCAATGTGGCCCACTGAAGTTGCTTCTATAATGCAGGCTGGGTCCAAAAGAGCCTGAGCATTTAGCCCCACAGTGTGAGGCCAGCCAGTTTCATATGAAGCATGGGGTCCACAGTGGGTTGCTGCCCTCAAAACCTGGCACACGTGTTTGCTCTGGGGCTATCTGGTCATAATACGGCCGGACACCACAGTGACCCTCTATGGGATTTCTGGGGTACAGTAATATTCCCACACCTGAATATTCCCCATGAAGAGGCCCCTGATACTATTTCCACACCTTTATTTGTTATTTAGAACAGAGTAACTTCACAGAAAGATGGAGTAGAAGGTCGAGTTTCCATAAACCCCTTCCCAGCACAGGCACAATCTCCCCCATCTCGACATCTTGCTTCTACATGATACATTAGTTATAATTAATGAATTAACATTGACACATCATTATCAATCAAAGCTCATAGTTGACATTAGGATTCCTTCTTGGTGATGTCATTATGGGTTTTGACAAATGTATAATGACCTGTATCTGCCCTTATACCATCATACAGAGCAGTTTCTCTGCCCTGCAAATCCTTTGTCCTCTACCTGTTCATCCCTCTCTTTGCCCAGCCCCCAAATTCTTTGAAACCACTATCTTTTACTGTCTGTAGTTTTTACTTTTCTTTTTTTTTTTTTGAGACAGAGCCTCAAGCTGTCCCCCTGGGTAGAGTGCCGTGGCATCTCAGCTCACAGCAACCTCCATCTCCTGGGCTCAAGTGAGTCTCCTGCCTCCGCCTCCCAAGTAGCTGGGACCACAGGCGCCCGCCATAATGCCTGGCTATTTTTTTGGTTGCAGCTGTCACTGTTGTTTGATGGGCCCAGGCTGGATTCAAACCGGCCACCTTAGGTGTACGTGGCTGGTGCCTTAGCCACTTGAGCCACAGGCGCCAAGCCAGTTTTTACTTTTCCACAGTGTCACATAGTTGAATCATGTGACTTTCAAATAGCTGAATACCCCAGTCAGAGAGGTATATAGATGTTAGCTCAGTTTCATTTTATAAAATCTATCTTTTCTGGAGTGATTCATTACCAGCTTCTCAGAGCTGCCAAGTATGGCCTCTGCAGTGTCCATTCCTTTCCAACAACATTGGGCAGGACCTAGTATCTCTGTGGGTCAGGTATGCTTGACTATAGTCCATTTCATAGGGTCCACCCTAACCCATGAACCCATCCGGAAACTCCTGCCCAGGAAAATGGTGAGAACTTTCTATTACTAGCTTAGATTTTATTTTGCAATGCAAATATTTTTGTTACCATTTCCAGTCCTTTGGGGAAATAAAGTAGGCAGGAGTTAAATACATATTCTGATAAGTGGAAGAGATCAACACCGCCAACAGAGATCCCTTATATCGGTGGCCAAGGTGGGACAGATGAATCCCAGCGCCACTTAGGAGAACTGGCATTTTCCCTGAACGTCTTCTAATATACCACGTTCCCCCACACACCTAGCAGCCTCTCTCTCCCTCCCCACCTTGTGAGTTCATGATGTTGAATTAATTGTATAATTCACCTAAATGACGGTATTGATTGATGGCCCTGTTAAAAGTAGAGTGTTATTGTTGGTATACAAGTAACATTTATTTTATTCTGGCACTGTAATTACAGGCAGTAAATTAAATTAAATATTAAGCATTAACTTGAAATCAATAGGGCAACAAATCTCATTATGAGAAAAATGTATTATGCAAATTCTTTCCAGAATTTTATCATTATGAATAATGGCTTCATTACAAGAACTGTACAGCAGAGGTGGTAACCGAGTTTGAAAGAAACATAACACTCTAGCATTTGGTGATTTCAGAGTTTGTGCAAGATGGTCTTGCATTTTTAGAGTCAGAGAGGATTTGGCCCAAATCTGGAGAAGCCCCTGACCCAACACAGTGTGGTTCACTGCCGCCACCTCTTCACCCTGACTTTATTAAGGTCTGTCCACTGAAGTGGCTCGGGGCCAGGGCTGGCGCAGACCAGGCTTCCTGCTCCATATGTCTTCCCGATTGTGCCAGATTTGTTGTTTCTGTTTCTTATCTGAACTTGCCTTGCCCTTAGGAAAACCTACAACTTAGCCTCAGCTTTCACGGATGAGGGAATTCTTCCAAAAGAGGCAATAAAAGGTTTTAGTCAGTAGAAAGAACAGTTTGTCAGTGAGCTAGGAGTACACTGTTCTCTCTCATTCTTTACTCAGGGTCCTTTCCTGGGTGTGTCAGACCTAGGGACAGTTCCTTCTCACAACCTATTATGTTTTTCTTTTTCTCTGACCATTGCCATTCTAAGTGCCCCTAAAACTCTGGGTAGGCCTCCTACTGCCTTGCTATGCAGACTTAGCTACCATTTCTTGAAAAGAAAAAATAAGAAGCCATTAGGATGTTCCCTACAGACATGTTTCCCGTTCCTTCACTGGCGTTTTCCTCTTCCTTGCTTTCCTTCATTCCAGAGTGAGGAGCTGGCCTCCTCTTTCCCACGCACACGCACGCAGGCCTCTCCCAAGTCTGTGTGCACAGCCTGCAAACACCTGTGCACGGCCCTCTGCACGCCGCAGTCCCTTCTCAGTCCAGCTGCCTGAAAAACCCTGCTTGTTTCACATCTGCTAAGTATTTCCTTCCGGAGATGAAGATTCCCAGCAGAAAACAGTTGGAACCCATAGGGAACGAAACATAAACTCCCCAAGTGAAGGCATGGGGCTGAGTAGCAGAGGCTGCAAGAAAAAATATTTCAACCCCAAACCAAGGGGACTTGGAAAACATGACAAATGCCCTTCAGATGATTATTCAGGAGGTCACTTTCAATGTTGTACATACCTGCTGGTTGAAACTTAGCATAATAGCACCATCCACTTTACTGGCTTTTTTTTAAATAAACAAAACCTTAACAGGGTCATAGATCACAAAGGGACCTGCCTTCAGATTTAAGCCCAATACCCCAGAATTCCTTTCTTCCCAAGAGGCAGCTTGGAATGAATCCTTCTCACCCTATGAACGGTCGCTCCTTACCTGGTGGTTGAGCCAGAAGCTGGGAATTTCTGGTCGTCCTCGGTCTCTCAACACATTGTCCTTCATGCTCTCCACACAGGGATGCTCCCTCACCTTGGAACCGAAGGGAGGCTCATAATCTTTCACTTCTAAGAAGAAAGCAGGCAAACACAGGCACATTGAGAATGGTGTGTGCAGCTGAGGGAACTGAGTGTGGTGGAGATGCTTGGCTGGGTAGCACAAGGCACCAAGTCTCAAAATACATCTGTGGTTACTCGAAGGGCAACTCTTAACAACATTGGAATCAAAAAAGAAGGAGGGAGTGGCTAAGGAAAGAGCTGGAAAGTAGTCAATGAATGACTAGTGAGTGCTTACTGTGTGCTGGGAACTAGGCCAATAGCTGGGGACAGAGTGGACAGCAAGGCGGACAGGGTCACAGAGTTTACATTTTAATGCAGGTATTCTGTACAGGGCCACATTGCCCCAAAGGGGTGAAACTGGTTCTTGGAAAGTAGAAAATTTTACATATTACAATAGTTTGTGGCCCTCGAAAGCCCCATAGTACATGAACAGATTTACTATGTGATACTAAACTTCATGAAGATACCCAGCCATAAATGCAATGCCATTCTGGTACATGGGACAGCGTGGACGAACCGTGAGGATGTTATGCTGAGTGAGGTAAGCCCGACACAAGGACAAACACTGCATGATTCCTCTCACAGGAGATGCTCTGAACAGGAAAATTCAAGAGACAGGTGGATTCATGCTCTGAACAGGAAAATTCAAGAGACAGGTGGGTGCCCAGGAATTAGAAAAAGGTGGCGGGTGAGGAGTTATTCTTCTATGGATGAAGAGTCTGGGGAAATGAAATTTATGAAAAAATGGAAAAGAGAGATGGTTGTATGATGTTGCAAAGGTGCTTAATGTCAGAAAAATGAACACTTAAAATCACTTAAAATGGCTAAGATGGGTAATTTTCTAATATGTATGTTTTACTACAGGAAAAAAAAATCAAGGGGAGAAGTAATTAGGCAAGAAATTATCTACAAAAGCCCATTACAATAGCACAGATGAAAAAAGGGTTGAGAAGTGCTGCTTTAGTGAGATGATAGAGGGGACAGATTAACTACAACATCAAGAGGCAAAATTCCAAAATGATAATGTTTCCTTTTCTTTTCTTTGTTCTTTTTCTTTCTTTCTTTTTTGAGACACAGTCTCACTTTGTGGCCCTGGATAAAGTGCCAGGGTGTCATAGATCACAGCAACCTCAAACTCTTGGGCTCAAGCAATCCTCTTGCCTCACCCTCCTAAGTAGCTGGGACTACAGGCACCAGCCACAATCCCGGCTATTTTTAGAGATGGCGTTTTTCTCTAGCTTAGGCTGGTCTTGAACTCCTGAGCTCAGGCAATCTACCTGCTTGGGCCTCCCAGAGTGCTGGGATTACAGGCATGAGCCACAATAATATTTCTTCAATGATATGTGCTATAAAGAAAATAATAAAGATGTAATAACCTTTCACTAGGGCTTTGGGTTTCAACTAAGGTCAATTTTTTCATAGAAACTTCCTTGAATATCCTTCAAATCATTCTTGGTTAGAGGTCCCAGGCAGAGCTCTATCTTAGCATATGTCCTATTATAATAGATTCACCTGCTTATTTGTCTCACTCAAATAAACTGTGAGTATCTGGGGGCAGAGTAAGGGTCCCTTTCTCACGCTTGCATTTTTAATGCTAAGGACAAGGGCCTTCCCAGGCGGCAGGCTCTCAGTACATGTTCTGTGAGTAAATGAATGAATGAGTGAATGAATCTTCAATCTTTCCCAAAGTAGCAGTGCATAAACTCTGAATGAATATTCAGTCAACACACTAATTTAAATGAGCAGGCTAATATACATGCCAGTGGAACATAGGGCCATTAAAGATAGAAAACATCCCACAATAGTAAAAATGACTGGGCTGGAAGGAGAGGATGAGCTGGGGTTTAGGATCTTTGGCCTTAGCATCAGAATAGTCTTATTTGATGGGTAAAATGTTCAATAATTTGCACTTCTAGGCTAAGAATTGAAGAAGCTTTCATGGCAAAATGACTCCTTAAAATGGGATGTGTTGTTTTCGTTCATTTGTTTTCTGTTTTCCCGTCTCAGTACCCTAATTACATATTTATCTTCCTCAGCCTCACCCAAATAGAAGAGCTGCCAGGATGTTTTCTTGTTTAATGGTTGTAAATACAGGGAAATTGTAATGAAGGCCTTCCGTCACACTGCGGCCAGGACAAACTAGCCTCTGTGTGTCCACTTCTGCTTCAAGTGACCAAGCACTTAATCTGTCTTGTTCATGGGTTCAGATCTGAATTTTGATTTGCCTAAAATTTACGCATCTTATTTCTTTCTTCCCTTCCCTGTCTCCCATAGACTGTAATTTGCTAAGGCCTGAGGCACAGGCCTTCAATTCCCTGCTCAGTGCCTAAAACTGTACCTTACCCATACATAGTAGGCATTGAATAAGTAGGAGTTGGGCAGAATTCAAGCAAAAGCGGATAACTGGGACACAGCGCTGATTCTGAGGAAGGATTTACTCTGACCTACTTCTCCTCTATAAAATGAATAAACTGAACTGAACAACCTCCATGTTCCTCTCCAGCAGTGATTCTCAACTTTCCTAATGCCTGACCCTTTAATACAGCTCTTCATGTTGTAGTGACCCCCAACCATAAAATTATTTTTGTTGCTACTTCATAACTGTAATTTTGCTCCTGTTATGAATTGTAATATAAATATCTGACAAGCAGGAGACCCCCAATCAGGTCACGACCCCTTTTATTTTGTAATCTAATCTAATAAACTAAGATGATCTTTTCTTAGTGCCACACCTTGAAGTGTGTGTGATAGGATAGGATAGGATGGGATACGATAGGGTTTGTATATGACACATATTGCTCTTGGCTAATGTATAGTTCACAGATACTCCATTTACAACTGTTTTGGCTGCTGTAGTTGGCTGTTGTGGTTGGTGCTGGCCTAGGTCCCCTCTACCAACCAGCAGACCCTAGCTGCCACAGGTGTCATAAGAGCTCGTACCTTCACCCTTCTCTGAGAGATGACCCTTGGCTGATGGGAGCTGTCTAGCCTGGAGATTCCTGGACATGACACAGCTTCATTTCCAGGGGAAGCTTGTAGCCAATAACAAACTAAGAGTTGGAAGTTGAGCAGTCCAACCCTGTCAGCTCTTGGTGAGATAACTCTGTGGTGCACTTCACACTCTAGAGCTTCCTGTGAGATCAGGCTGAGGCTAGACTTCTCTGCAAACTACCAGTTTGCTTAACTCCTTGCATGCTCCTTCCTGCTTCTTTTACTTACTTCTCCTGAGACCTAGGGAGGCTGGATGGAGGGAGGGTGATTGGTGGGATCACGCCTATAGTATATCCTATAAGGGTATATGGGAATCTCTCTAAATCTAGAAAATGAATGTCTTAACACAATAACTAAGAAAATGACAAGAAGGCTATGTTGACCAGTTGGATGAAAGTATTTCTAATTGTATATAGAAACAGCACACTGTATCCTATGATAGTATTAATGTACACAGCTATGATTTAATAAAAATAAATAAATAAATAAATACATTCAGAAAAGAAAAAAAAATCTTTGTGTCAGACTCAACTTCTAACAAAGCTGGCCAAGACAACTGCCCAGGAAATGCTTTCCCCTCCCTTCCAGGTCTCCGTCTGAGCTAATCTGCACCATTGGACTGTGGCTGCAAAGCCACTCCAAGGAAGTCTCAATGTAGCCCCTTCCTGAGAGGCTGAAAGCACTCAACCAGGAAGAGCATTCAGAATTGCACACTGTATTACTGTTACTCTAGTGAAACACTGTTGCCTTTTTAGGAAGGGGTCCTGCTTTCTCCTTTAGTTTCAGAGAGTTATTTCTCCCCAACCATCAACAGTTCCCATAGCCACGCTCAGAAGTGAAGGGAGGCCATGACCACTATAAGAAGAGGAAAGCTCTGGAGTCAGAACCAATCCCAGCTGTCAATCTCATGGCTGATAATCTTTAAAAACAAAAAAATTTCCATTGTTAACATTATAATCCAAAGCCAATTCATTTCAAGTCTTAATCTTAGAAGTCACATAAGCCACAGTATTTATTTTAATTCTGTAAATTCTGTGTGGACCAAAGCAGGTTTCTATGAGGAATGGGAAACGATGACACTGGGCACATTTCTATTTAAAGGAAAAGTAATGAGGGCTCCTGTCGGGGGAAAAGGAAAAGACAAAAGCCATATTCCTTTCCCAGAGCAAAATGATTTGGACATGGGTTACTTCCTATTTTTCCTAAACCCTTGGGAAGTTGTGAGATTCCCTAGTATGCCCAAGGGATACAAGGCCTGCTTCCCGTCTTTGACTTGCGGGGAATTTCATAGAAGAGGGAGGTCAAGGTTAGTCTGAAAGGCACTGAGAGGGACTGACTCCTTGAGCAGCACTGGGAGAATTTGTGAATCCTCTGCCTCCTAGGTTTAAAATAGATCAATATAAAAAATCATCATTTGACCCAAACTAGCATAGCCCAGTCCCATAATATTAAAAGTCATTTTTCAGATTAGAAGTGGGGATGGAGATTTCAAGTGTGTGCATGTTACAGACTGACCTTTCTTTAATTGCTGGGAAATGTCTTATTTAATATATATATTCCAAAATATAGCATGTAAGTAGTTATTTTGGAATACATATATACTCCAAAATAGCTACATACATGCTTTTTTTTTCTTTTTTTTCCCTATTATGGATTCCTGCAATTCTTCCTTCTTGTGCCCTGCTCCCTCCTTTTGGATATCCTGCCCTCACCACTATTTTTCTCATGCCCTGTACTATGTACAAGGATGACTTACTGCACGGCAGGGCATATACCTTTGCCTCTTGGTCTACAGATTTGATGTTTGATTGTAGCAATCAGGCAGTGCTGCTCATTTTTCTTGTGGCAGTTAAGGGCAACACCATGCTCAGGGCTTTCCTTAGGACCTGAAGGATGACCATTTACAGACATTCTGCTGGAGGCATTCCCTCTGGGAGGGCATTTCCTAGCTGGTCCTTCGTTATTCTAAGTATCCTCAGAACATTGTGGGTACTGGCTTTGAGTAAGCAGAAGAAGGG